ATTCACCGGCGATCAATTGTTCGCGACCAATTCACCGGATACCATCATCTAGATATTATAATATTATGATTACATTTTATCCACGTCAAATGTATAATACATAAGTAAAATGACCATTTAGCGATGTTATTATAAAAAACTGAAAACATAAATTGTAATTTTGAAATTCTATTTAAATGCTTTATTTATATACTTACGTAAAAAGTTCTAAAGTTAAAATATAGCCTTTGTGGCTAAGCTTATTTTTAGGTTTCTAATTCCGACAAGTGCGCGTGACGGTGTGAGAATTATGTTCATGTTGGGTTAATTATCAACAATTTTAATTCCCTTTGACATAATGAAATGACATTTTAAGCTTATTAATCTATGGTATTTTATCAACTTATAACTTTTAACTTTAATATTTTGTGATGATATGGTGGTGTGGAATTTTCACCATCAAACGTTGAATAATAAAACTATATCATTCTAAAATATAATTCCTGATCTTGAATCTATTAGTTTTTTACRCATTATTATTTCAATTATATACGTTAAAAAAATAATATTTAACTACAGGAACGTATTATATTTATTATATTATATATTATTTAATTATTATAATATATATACATAATATTAACGATAATTCATCAAAATTGATATTTTGAAATCATATTATTTATAACATGTTTAATTAATAATCGACTCGAGAAGTGAATTATTATATTCTGCTTAATTATTTTGTAGTAAACTAAACTAATTAAAAAATTATACTATGGTACTATTGAACAATAGTGTTTAAATTGAGTGGCTTACAAAAATATATTAGGTATAAGCTATGCAAGTTAGTATTTAACCGAGGTTTTCTTATAGAAGGTTTAAAAAAAAAAAAAAACAAATATTTTGTTTTTGATAAAACATCAAAATATATTAAATATAATGTTGCGTCATATTATTTTCATTTTTGTTATTTAATTATTAGCTAATCCGACGGGTGGTTTATGTAGGTTTGTAGTATAACCAATAACTTAAAAT